TTTGTAGATTGAGTTTTATACTTGATTAAACTAATTCAATAAACGCGGACGTTTATTAAAACCTTTAGTAGCGCGGACGCCTACAAAATCAAAAGTACATGCAACGTTTGAGTGTAGGGAGTATCTGCAGGGAGTTGTCTAAAATCCAACTAACTTTTAGGATTTCGTCTTTAGACCTACAGCAGCTAATACACTTCGTTTGAGAAAATTACTGGCTCAAGTTAAATTAGCGATAGAACTTTTACTTCCTTTAAGTAAAAAAGTCATTTTTAAATGTAAAATGTTAAATATATTTACAATTAAAATCAAATTAATATAAAATAATAACAATAACTAAATTGCATGTAAAATTTAATTACATAATGTTGATTTTAGTAGTGCGTATTAAAATAAATTCATTTTTACAAATAAAAGTGATTAACATAAGTAATTAATATGAAAAAGTTATTTATAAATTGAAAATCAACAAATTGAGTTTTTATACTTGATGGAAAAAAGAGAAATTAAAATAAACTAATAAGTTTTCAACAACATTGCTAATGTTAACGTACGGTGTTTTTAGTGTAAAACAAGAAAACTGAACACAAGTTAAATATATCTCCATTTAGCCATGAATATTCATTCGTATTTAAAAGAAGTAGGAGATTTTGAGAATTGTTTTGACCAAATTTTTACTAGGGTAAAACAGTTCTCAATTGTAACCCCTCTCAATTTAAGGGAATTACAAATTTTATATGGTCCTAATTTTTGAACGCTGCAAGATAATACAATGAAACTTAAAATTTATTAATGAATATCAGTTTTATTGAGAATAGTACAAAAAATACTTTACCAACTTAGTTTTATTGAGAATAGTACAAAAAATACTTACCAACTTCTCATGTCTGGAGTGTTACGGGTTGGGTGGAGGGATTTAGGATTTAATTACATAAAGTTGATTTTAGTAGTGCGTATTAAAATAAATTTATTTTTACAAATAAAAGTGATTAACATAAGTAATTAATTACATAAAGTTGATTTTATTTAAGGGAGTGTTTGAATGAAGTTAATGGGCTTTTTTGTTTCCAGCCTTTAATCATCGCAGTTTTTTGCAAAGCATTATTATTTGACAGAAGTATTAACATACAAGTGTTTGGAGTTTGCTCCATATCTGGAAGTTAGTTATCATCTTAAACACCTAAAAATCCTGGTTCCTTCACTGATCGCAATGATACAGTTTTTACGGTGATGAAAAATATTTTAAAAACTAAATCATTTAACAATCGCAAGAGTACACCACCAGTAACAAGCTATATAAAAAAAAAAAAAAACGATAATAGAATGTATTAAAGTTTAAAAAAAAATTGTGTTAGTAACGTCTGAATAACTTTTTTATGACTTACTTTGGCAAATATTTTCCATTTATAAATAACTTTTTTATGTTAATTATTTATGTTAATTACTTTTATTTGTAAAAATAAATTTTTTTTACTACGCACTTCTAAAATCAACTTTATGTAATTAAATTTTATATGCAATTTAGTTGTTGTTATTATTTTTTATTAATTTGATTTTAATTGTAAATTTATTTAATATTTTACATTTAAAAATGACTTTTTTACTTATAGGAATTAAAAGTTCTATTTCTAATTTAAGCTGTTGTAGGTCTAAAGACAAAATCCTAAAAGTTAGTTGGATTTTAGACGATTCCCAGCAGATACTCCCTAACACTTAAACGTTGCATGTACTTTTAATTTTGTAGGCGTCCGCGCTACTAAAAGTTTTAATAAACGTCGGCGTTTACTGAATGCGCAAATAGACATTCCACTTTTCGAAACTCATTTATTTTTTCAAAAAAAACTTCATTTAATCAAAAAGCTTCTTTTTTTTCCGAAACTCTTTTATCTTATCGAAGTTCTTCTTTTTTTTCGAAAATCTTTTACCTTCGTAAGACTTCTTTTTTCTTTTTTCGAAAATAATTTAGCTAGTCGAAATGTTTTTTTTTTCCGAAACTAATTTAACTTTTTGAAACTCTTTTTTTTTTTTTTGATGTTTATTTAACATTACGAAATTCAACTTAAATTTCGAAACTAGTTTAGCATAATTTTTTTTTTTTCGAAAATAAAATGAGTTTTCAAAATTAAAAATAAGTTCTCAAAATTATTTTAATTAAACTAGGAAACGAAAGTCACCACAAAAAATTTATTTCATGTCTTGGATACAGAATGTGACAAAACAGCTGAGACAATCTGATCAGCCGTATAAAAATGGAAAGGGAGAAAATGTTTCATGCAAATATCTAACAAAAAAGAAGGACTGTTAAGTTCTTGTGAATTTAAATACACACAAAATATCAGTGATGAAAAATGAACACGTATGTTTGTTGATTTTCGGTTTGTGATATGTTACCCGAAAATCAAAGTAGTTTAACATAAGTTTAAGACCAGGGAATTCAAGTATACAATATCAAGTATACAATATCAATTATACATTATCATAAGTATTATATCAATTATACATTATTATATCAATTATACATTGTATACAAGTATACAGGAAATTCAAGTATACAAGTATATAAGTATAAGATGTTGATAATATCCACAATCAAATTAAGCACTCGCTCCTGTTGAAATATTTAGTTCCCTTGGTTTAATCAGAGCAATTCTTGCTCTTCAAAAATAAAATTCTGTCTACTAAATAAAAAAATTGGATTTCAAACATTTTTTAACTATTGCAGGCTTTTTAAATTTAAGCTTGTTCCTTATATCTAGATAAAGCATCTAGCATTCAGATCATGTATACTACAGAAAACTATGTTATAATGTTTGTTCAAAAGCATGAGTTTAACAATCTACGATCTTAGTCATGGTAGAGGTACAAATATTTTTTTGCTATAATGAATCAGGGTGCTTAAATTTCAAATAATAAAGCCAATGTCCTTCAAAATCTGTTCAAGTATATGTCTGCTGTAAATATTGCATTTTATAAGAGTATTTTAAAATAATTTATTTTTTTGTCAAAATATATATGTTTTAAAAGTTATGTTATTAAATGGGCTTCTTACTGAAATGTTATATTTTTAATTTACTAACTTATTATTCTTTAAGATATCTTTTTATTTGTGCAATGTATTATAGATCTTATGTTTTTTAAACTTATAACTAAAGTTTTATTTCGTTGTGAAGATCTTAGATAATATATAACTAAGGTAATATATAGATTATATATATATATATATATATATATATATATATATATATATATATATAATATATATATATATATATATATATATATATATATATATATATATATATATATATATTATCTATATATTACCTATATATTATATATTATCTATATATTTGTCTGCAGGTTTCCGAACCCAGTAAATCATACATTGAACTTGATTTTCTCGGTTCGGAAAAACATGGAGATCAAAATAATTCTAACCTCGCGGTATATATATACATACATATATATACAATGTATGTATGTATATATATATATATATATATATATATATATATATATATATATATATATATATATATATATATATATATATATATATATATACATATATATATATATATATATATATATATATATATATATATATATATATTTTTGCCATCTTACCCCGTTTTTCACTACAAGAGTAAAGACAAATAAGCTAAAAATGCCAAAGTAAGGTAAAGATAAAAAATAAAGTAGAAATAGTGAAGTTAAGTAAAGATTAATGTAAAATACAAATTAAAAGATCTATACCGACCAATCTATCTTTCATTAACAACTCTGAAAACTTAATATTTAAGTTTTTTAAAAAAAATTCAAAATTTTAATGCAGTGATTCTAAAGTTTTTATTTCCTACCTAATTTTTTTTGCAGAGTAAAATTAAGTATTTTATTATTGTAATTGGTTCACAAATAAACTAAAAAAAGTATTTAACTTTATGTATACATTAATATATAATTTTATTACTTTATTCGATATTTGATTCGATATTTGATTTATTTGATATTTGATTTAGATTGTTGATATTTAGATTATTCGATAATTGTTTATTCTTCAATTGAATGCATAATTTCCAAATCTTGTTTTGCAAACAAATTATTTCAGCAGACTTCAAAAAAACATCTTTTTTTTTATAATAATTATGCTCAAAGTCACAACAAATATTATTCGAGGAAAAAAGTTTCATAAAACTAAAATACGTATGATGTAATATGGCAACCGATCTCAGACAATAGAATAGTTCAGTTGGTATACCAACATCTGTCCAACAACAACTGTAAATACAATAATGTATAATAACCTGTCAAACAGCATCGGAAATTTAATTGGGTCATAACATCTGTGTAAAAAGTATTCGATTACTACAGAAGTAACTAATTATCCAAGTATAATTGCATCTGTACAACTACATCTATGAATTCTACAAATGTAGTTACATCTTTTAAATTACATTAAACATATAATAATAAACAGGATTTTATAAAATTAATAAACTATAATACTTTAGCCAGATTTAATTTCATAGTTTTTTTCAGATGTAGTTACATCTGGAAAAAAATAATAAATATAAATGCATTACTTTAATCATATGCAGTTACAAATATAAGTTTTTTCAGATGTAATTACATCTCGAGGAAATTCTTCTAGATGTTATTGAACTTGAAGAAAAATTACCAGATGTAGATTTATTTTCATAAAGATGTTGTCAGGGGTAACTGAATTTCCTGATGATAATAAGCAGATGATGTTTGAGAAAAAAAAATTACTGGTGATCTTGGACAAAAGTGTACAAGATGATCTTGGGTTACTCTACAGATTTTGTTAGACAGATTTAGGAATCTTTTATTGACCAGTTCTTTATATCAAATATTACAGTAAAACAAAAACAAAAAATTTTTTAAAATGCCTAAAATCATTTTATGATATTATCGCAATAAATTTACTTTACGTTTATATAAACATTTAGGAAATCAATAATAAGTTATAAAAAAAAACTAACCCTGAGTTGAACTTTTTTTAATTTCCAATGTTAAAAGTAAAACAAATGTTATCCAAATCATTTTATAAATATTTTCAGAAACTAAATAGGAGTGTTGTTGAACCGTATCAAAAAATGAACTAATGACTGATGGATTTATAAGGAAAAATAATGACGAATTAAATAGATTTCATTTAAACCAATTGAATCTAGTTATAAGATAACCCCATCATTATTTTGAATCATTTGAATTCAATAGATAAAAAATGAAACATAATATCAATTAAATAGATAATTAAGCTTTATAAATCCTTTTATTATACCGAATAAATATTGTATAATAGTACATAAGTGCTTCTACTTTTCTAGTAATTAATTTTCACGAATCAAAATGTAATGACGCAAATGGATTGACAAACTTTTTGAATTTGATTAAAAATTCTTTTTTTAAACTAGTTTAATCAATAATTTCATCAACAAGTTATCTCTTTTCGGAATCTTATTAAACATTCTGAAATCAGGTTTGGTTTTGCAGAGTATTGTTTTGTTGTAAAGATATAAGAAGACCGATGATTTAAGGGAATTAGCAAAATTATCTTCAAAATGTTTGCGACAATAAAACTAATTTTATCATAATTTAGTGTTTTTTGAATAAATAAAATACGAATTATAAATTTCTAAAGTAATAATTTAAAAAAAATAGATAAAATGTTTAATATAAATAACATTGGCTAATAGCATTAAAAAAGAAGAAGTACTTTGAGCAAATCAATACACTTTTGACTTAAAATGTATCTCTCTGGAAGCTAACTAAACCTTTCTTTTCGGACAAACTTACAAACTCTAACGAGCGCATCACTCTGACTGAAAATGGCAACAATACCTCAGACAGTTCTTTGTCAAGTATGGCCAACCATATTAAATGGTCTTTTTCTCCTTGCACTTCAGATCCAGTTGAGTCAGCTATTAAAAAGTATGTTGACCATTCTAGTATAAGAAACATTTAAAATAAATTCAAAACGAATGCATATAATTAATTATGGTGAAATACCAACTTTTATGTTAAAATCTTACTTAATACACTTTAGGGATAGTCTTACAGAATGTATCAACAATAGCATCTTAGATGGAACATTTCCGTCATTCCTAAAAGTGGCGGATGTTTTACTATGTCTTAAGAAAAATGACCCAACAGATAAGGCTAACTATCACCCTATAAGTAATCTGCCCGCTCTCACCAAAGTTTTTGAAAGATCGTTTATGAACAAATTTTGTTATTTAACCCTTATGGAGCCTTATAGTTGATTATCTAACCCTTATGGAGGCAAAATTTGACAATTTTTGTGTGGTTTTTACAGAGGTCATAGTACTCAGCATACACTTATTTTTTTTAATTAATAAGGGGAATGAATGCATTAACAATGGAGGTATTGTTAGAACATTATAAATAGATTTATCTAAAGCATATGATTTCTTTCCGCATGACCTACTTATTGCTAAATTAGAGGCATATGGTTTCTCTAAAGAACGCCTTAAATTTCTTATATTGTATATTAGTTTCTAATTGGGTTGATATTTTATCGGAAGTGCCTCAATGTTCAATTCTCGGTCCCATTCTCTTTAATATCTTTATAATTGATATATTCTTATTTATTAAAAATACTGAACTGTGCAATTTTGCAGATGATAATACGCTGTATGCATGTGATTACCGCTTAGAAAAGGTTATTTTTTAATTGCAAAAGGAAGCAACTAATACCATTGTCTAGTTTAAGTTGAACTCGATGGTTACCAACCCTGAATAATTACAATTACTTTTAGTTGGACTAAAAAACACAAAAGATATATACCTAAAAATAGGTAATATAAGAGTTTTTGCCTCTGATAGGGTGAAACTACTTGCTGTTACAATCGATGAGAATCTAAATTTTGGAGAATAAATTAAATACTTGTGAAGTATAGCTAATGGTAAATGTTTTGCTTTTTCACGCATAAGAAATTTTTTATCCCGTAATAAAACTACCTTGTTGTTTAACGCCTTCATAATGTCAAATTTTTCTTATTGTTCTATAATTTAGATGTTTTGTTCTAAATACTATGACCTAATAAATAGAATTCATAAAAAAGCTGTTTGTATTGTCTATAATAGGTTTGACTTATCTCTTGATGAATTGTTAAGTTTTGATAATAGCCCAAGGTTCCATTCAAGAAATTTCCGCTTTCTTATGATAAACGTTTTTAAATCAATTAGTTGTCTAAATCCAGAATTTATGAAGTTTTTCGATACAAAAAACCTTCCTTTTAAACTTCGTTGCAGCAAAAAAATGATTCTTCCTTTAAATGGTTCCAAATATAAGGATATATGATGTACTATATTTAGAGCCATCTCGTTAAGGAACACTCTAGATAACAAGATTGTGTTCTCTAAAAGTACTGAGGTGTTAAAAAAAACAATTTAAAAATTGGTATGCAAAAAACTGCTGTTGTAAAATTTGTAGTTTTTAATTACTATTTTTATTTATCCTGACATTATAAAACAATATTCACTCATTTTTCTTTAATGAAACGGTTGTAGTTTGAATATTTTGATATTATTTGTAATTTATACTATAATTTTGTAAATTGTAGTTTGATTTTTGTTTTTAAATACTTTTTTAAAAATTGAATTGTAAACTTACTATATATATGTGGACATTTTTTTTTTTTTTAACGACTTTCATGTGAGTGTGTATTGTCTATAATTGTTAAATGTGTTGATTTTAATTAGTTTAATCTTGTTAAAAGTGTTGTAACCATCAACAAAAAAGAAAGTTTTTAAATTAAGTTAAAATTAAATTTAGTCGAGTTCCTTTAGTATTTTGTATTTTTCTTTTATAGTTCTACTTGAAAGTTTTCTTTGAGCAACTTTCGTTATTTTTAGTAAATAAAACTTGAAGCGGGAGGATGCATAAGCATTATATGTGCGCACTGACATAAGTGCGAAGCGTTGCAAAAACTTGCATAATTGCGAACTGGAATATGTTCGAAATTGCATAAGTGCGCCAAAAGATTTTGCAAACACTGGCATAAGTGCAAATTAGCATACATACGAGCTGGCACAAGTGCGAAGCAGTTACAAAAACTGGCTGAAGTGTGAACTGGCATATGTGTGAACTGGTATGAGTGTGCCGAACAAATTTGAAAACATCGGAATAAGTGAAAATTGCCATATATACGAACTGGTATAAGTGCCAGTTCGTATATTATGCCAGTTCGCATTTGTACCAGTTTTTGTCACTGCTTCGCACTTATACCAGTTTGCACTTATGTCAGTTCTCACTTATGCCAATGTTTGCAAATTTGTTCGGCGTACTTATGTCAATTCACACTTATGCCAGTTCACATCTGTGCCAGTTTTTGTAACTGTTTCGCATTTCGCACTTATGAAATTCACCCATGTTAAGTTGTTCTGATCAAATTAAAACCGAATCGAAGATATCAATGAAAATGTTTAGTTCATTAAATTATGTTTGACGAAAAGGTAATTAATTTTCGAACGTTCTAAGTTTTAAATTCTAACTGATAAGTTTGAGTTTTTAATTTAATATTTACTAACAAATAGAATTTAATTGAAGCTTAACTGAATCAAAAGGTCTCCGTGAAAATGTTTAGCTATGTTTAATTATATTTGACGCAAAAGTATTTTTTTTTTCGAGCGTTTGACGTTTAGAATTTTTATTGAAGTATTGGAAGTTTTTTTATTTTATGCACTTATATGCAGTTTTAAAAAAAAGTCCATGTTAAACGAAGTTTTTTGCCGAAGGGACCTCAAGAAACAGTAAGAGTTAGCAAATAGTCCAACTTCCAGGGTACGACTTGAGCGTGATTTGATTTTACAGTAAGTTGATAGAGAATATTCAAGGCAAATTGAATTTCCGGGTAGCAGTAACAGTATCGAAAACAGCCAAACTGATTAATCTCGAAAACGGAAATTCCAGAATAACATCGAAATAAAGAATAACATCGAAATTGTAAAAAAAGGAATTGTATCGAAAATCCGAAAAATAGAATAACCTCGAAATTGTGAAAAAAGGAATAATATCAAAAAGTGACTTTTCGGAATAATATCGAAAAAGAAAACATTTCAAATTTCTTAAAAAAGGATTAGTATCGAAAATCCTAAAAGCAGAATAATCTCGAAACAGCTCAAAAGAGAATAATATTGAAATAAGACTTACCGGAACAATATCGAAAGTGTGAAAAAAGGAATAGTATCGAAATTTCAAAAAACGGAATTAGATCGAAATTGTAAAAAAAGGAACAATATCGAAACGGGACTTTCCGTAATTATATCAAAACTGTGAAAAAAGGAATATAATCAAAAAAATTCTTTCCCAAAAGGTGAATTTTAATAATAGGTTTGAAAATTCCACAAGCAGAATAAATAGACGGCAGTTTTTTGCGGTTTTTTGCGGTTTTTATTTAAAGTGTAGTAATTACACTGTATAATTGTATAATATAAACAAAAAGCTCTATTAGTAGAACAAAAAATATTAAATGTTGTGTTGTTGGATATTTATAAAACAATTCAAAACAAAATGTATTGATTTTATTTACAGTAGGCACTTCACACGATTTTACTATTACAATTATCTCTTGTTATAATTAATATACCATTATATGCGGATAATGAAGAAGCTTTCAGAATGTGTTCATTTTTTAAACTTGGATAACTGGTTCCAAAGTTATGACAATCTATGTTAGGCTCAATAACGCCTATTTCGCGTCAAGATTTGTTGAGTTTTTCTTAAGGAAATATGGCACTAAATTTTGATAATAAACTTATTTTTCATATGCTATCGAGAAGGAATTTCATTGAAGTACTTTTGCTGAATTATTTTTATTGTTTTCTTTTTCACTAAAGCATTCAGTTCTACAAATTATCATTCTCATATTAGGGGCCCCTAGGTAAGAATTCCACTCCTCGTTTACCCATTTGGGGCAATTGGATTAAAAGCTATAAAAGCTTCGTTTAAACCGTAAAAATTAACTTTAGAACTTATAAATGTTAATAAATTTAGACAAATTCATTAACATTTATAAATAACAAGAAAACAGGTAAAAATATTAGGACTAATTTCTTCTACAGAACTATGATTGTTCTTGGCCCAATTACTCATTCAGGACAATAAAGTAAAAATGTAAAAATAAACAAAGCCCGTTTTCCCATTTTGGGGCAAATTGAGCCAAGAGTAAAAAAAACTCTGTTAAAACTATAAAAATTAACTCAAGTTAAAGAAAAATACCTTTTTCAAACTGTCAGAGTAAAGATTCATTTACATTTATAAATATTAAGAATATATGTAAAAATCTAAGAAGAAACATTTTTCTCATTTAGGGCTGGGAGCCATGACTTTAAACTTATAACAATGAGCAAAAAAAAAATTCTGAAAATTTTTCAGTAATAGCTCAAACCCTAAATAAGTAAAATATGAACTCTATTTTATGAAGTGCACTACCAATTTTATGAAATATCATGCAAATAGTTTTGTCGTTAACATGGAAATGTAAACGAAGAGTAACATTTTACCCGAACTTTATCATATTTTAATTTTACGCGTTGCAACGCGTTAAAGCGAAGTATGATAAAACTCACAAATCCATGTTAATGACAAAACTATGAACATAACATTTCACAAAAGTGGTGGTGCACTTCATAAAATACAGTTCAAACTCCACTTATTCCCAAGCTTCTTTATCCGCTTAAATTGTAAATCAAATCCAAGTTACGCAGTTATAAATAATGTTATTTATCATTTGCAACAACAATGTTGTTTTTATCATAGATAACGTGTTGTATCTTAGAAAAATTAGTAACATCTTTTGGAAATAATAAAAAAGATCGCCTTTGTTTAAATGCTTGAAAACATTTGCCCTTTAGTGATTTTTTAACAAAATGATTTTAGGTCCACTGCACAGTGGGCCAGAAACATGAAAAAATCAATTTAACAATATTAACATTATAAAATCAATTTAACAACAATTCTATTTACTAAAACCTAATATTACAACCATTTAAATTTTCTTCAGGTTACTCACTTTTAAAAAAGTTTAAAAATTTTTGAATTGTTAAAGGTTGGCTTTGCTCATTTTTTTAATTTTTGCTCATTGCTGCCCCACTGTGCACTGCCTTGAATGTTTACTAAATATTTTATGTAAGCAAAACATAAAATTCCAAAAAGAACTATTAAATACTTACTTTATAAAAAAAAATTGTCCCTGATAGAGGGGGAGGGAAAATGCCACCTTGACCCCTCCCCCCATGACGTAGCCAATGTAGATAAACCCCCATGCCGTAGCCTATGTTCAATTATACTTGTTAATATATTATTCGCAATATTTCATATTATTTGCAATATTTTATATTCATAAAAAATTTTGTAAGGCGTTTTAGGAACTCGACTAACTTATTTATTATGAATTATTAGTATATATATATTAGTGAATAAAATATATGAAGTTTATGTAAGCAAAACATAAAATTCCAAAAAGAACTATTAAACACTTACTTTATAAAAAAAAAATTATCAAAATATATTAGTGAATAAAATATAGGAAGATTAGTAAATTTACTAATCTTCTAACAATTTATTTTATGTATAGAAGGTTATTGATTGTACTTTTTATAAAAAGTACAATAACCTTCTATAAATATACAAGCCCATATCGTAAAGATTTTGAGGTTAGGTTGGTCGTTTCGGAAAAAATTGTGGTCAAGAATAGAAAATCTTAACTAATTTTTATAACGTGAAACTAAGAGCATTTGGTCAAAAAAAAGATGTCAATCGCTCACGATTATCTCCTCCCTTTCCCCACCCTTACCAACAGTAAGGACGTGATAAATTTAAAAGAAACTAGCTTTTAATAAAAAATTTATATCAATAGCAACTCTTTAAACAAAATGTATATTTATTATAAAGCAAATTAAGGATGAAAATCCTTTTTTATAGCTGTTTTTGTGCTGGTCTGTAAAATCTGGGTCTGTGCTTTATATAATCTATTAGGTGTTATATCTTGGAAAGGAAATATTTTCAGCGTATGGTTTTTACATACTTTTTGACCAGTTTATTCCAATTATATAGTTTTTTGTTTAATTTCTATATATTTTTTTGCTGACTGTAACAAGTTATGATCCCGGCCCAAAATGTTTTAGCAATCGTTTTGTTCTTCTTAGATTTATCCTAGTTAAACAATTTATAAGCTATCTAGACAAGTTAAAACCTAGTTAAAAAAAGTTAAAAGCAAAAAGTTGTTTCTAACACGCTTGTGTACACGAAAGTGCTTATTGTAACATAGTAAGTCTTTTGTTGATACTGTCACTTGCTTCAAGGAAACTTATTTAATTTTGCTAGACAAGCAGATGTAGAATTTTATGCTACATTTATCTATACAATAACTTTAACATGTAAATAACTATTGTTTCTAGGGAGATGGAATTTATTTAGTACTTATCCTTAACGTAATATGGGGTTTGCTCAACAGAAACTAATACAATACGCCAACTTAATGTCATTTATGTAAACTAAAAAATGACGTTATTGATTATTTTTTATTCCAGGCGGAGCAATAGGAAAAAAATTATACCGCTTTTATATAATAAATTTTTTTAAATAAATTTAAACAATTGTGTGACATTCTAGTTTTTAAAATATAGGTAAAAGGGAAAATTTTACTGAATCATTAAAAAGGTTTAATTATAGATGATATTGGTCCTCGGCAAGTGGGACAATGAGCTGTGTTGCTTTTTTGGACTTGTTGAATGCAGGGCTGACAAAACAAAAAATGTCTGCAAGGCATTACTAATGCATTTCGTTCATTGACGGTAAAAACAACTCTGTTGAAGTAGAAGTTAGTAAAGGAAGACTCTCACCAACCTCATTTATTGAGTTTTCATTCAAAGCACTAAAAATATTTAAAAACTTCAAATACAATTTTCCATATTTCATGGAAAATAACAGATTATCAAATAAAGTTAAACTAATTAGTTTGGTAAAAAAATTGATAAAGGTTAATAAATAAGAAGTGTTATACAAAAACTATCTTACACTTCTTTGAAGTGTAAAATTATCTTACACTTCTTTGAAGTTTTGAATGAGACATCATACTGTTGATAGGAATCTCTCAATTGTCCAAACTCCGTCTCGAAGTTTTTTCTCAAAACAACGCATTTTTTTAGTTGCACCATAGTCGCGTTGGTCACGGCGGACTGGCTGATTGCAGGCAAGCTGTTGAACCTCTTGAATTATATGGACTATTACATGCTGGTTAAGCAATTTCATAAACTGCCAAAATCCTCTATGTCGATCACCCATGTTTGATTTCAAACGTCTATTGAGACTCTCTGCATTGTTATTGGTTTCGTGGTTCAAGCCATAAACACTGATCCTTCTAGGGCCACTATATTGAGTCAATACTTCTCAAAATACCTTTTAAAAGCAAGTAGTTTGATTTTGATTTCGTGACTAAATTGTGCAATCTCAATAACTTGAGATCCCCAAGCAACCAAGATCGTGTTTGCAGGAAGGAGACAAAGTGCTAAAACTTTTCGTGCCCACTTCTTTACTTGAATTTGGTGGCGGTATTCCCTCTGAAGACCAAGAATTGCTAATTGCTTGGTGATTGAATTTTCGAAATAAAACCTAAAGATAAGGGTTTAAAGGAGATCATTAATTGATAACAAACTCTGAAAAACTTGGATAACTTAGAAACTGGAAACTATACCTGCAACCATTCACCAAGCTTTCACTCCAAGTTGTTTTTAAAGCATTCTGTAGTCCTCGTTCAAAATCTGACATAATGGTGACTGGAGAGAAATCTAAAACTTCTTTTATTTTGGAAAAAACAAGCTTGTATAGAGCCTCGGATTTCGATGTCATTAAAGCGCATACAGCTGGAACAGATATTCCCCAAAGGTGAGGGTTATCAGGATCAAAAATCATCTGATCCTCATCTGGAATTGGATCTTCAAGTACTGCTGAATACTTAACAAAAAATATCAAGAGCTGATACCACTTACTTTCCTCCATGCGTGGTGTCATGCTGGAAGTACAACAAATGTAACTATAATTTACAACTGTAAATAAAAGTGTTCTACCTAACGTTTTTAATATATCACTTTTTTCGTTTATGGGCTGTCTAATAATAACGTTAAAAAAATAAGGAAGAAGGTGTCTAAATTTTTTTTTAAATTTTTGCTAAGGGTGAGGGGAGGAGGTCAAGTAAAGTTGACATCAACAATGTTGCTTTATTTTTTTAATTTCGTTACTCAAAAAAAGAAAAGTTTGCCTGCGTTTTTAGCGCAGCGTCTTAATTTAGGGGAGAAGGGTTATCAAAAATTGACGTAACTTTATAGGGGAAAGAAGTATCTCTGGAAATTTAACAAATTGTTGACATGGGGGAGGGGGTAATGTAAAAAATAGCTAAAAGTTTGTTGATGTAATTAATGGACAGCCCCCTAGATAAACATATGTTCTTCTAGAACATATATTTTTTTGAAAAAGTTAAATGCATACGTATAAATACCTAAATGTTCCATCAACAAAACACACTTTGGCCGATTTCGCCTTGTTGATGACTAGCATATGCCCAAACAGCAATGCTACGTTGTCCTGTTTTGCAACCGATCACAAGAAAATGTCTCCATAGCGATGGCACTCTTTGTCGTTCAGAACTTCAGCAGCTTCATTAGGTGATTTTGGGTTTGAAGACTCATTTAGCTTTCTCCTTTTCTGAAGACTTGGAATAATTTGACGAAAACTAGCAGATTCAGAAACAACTGCAGGAAACTCACTCAAAGTGTTTTGAAAAATTAAGCGCAGGTCTTCAGATGTTGCTTCTGCTTTTTTCTTCATGGTACTTTTAGCAAGCAGCACTTCAAAGTCTGTTTCTCTTGAACTGCAACTGCGAACAGTTGTAACCTGAAGTTTATCTTCATGAATAAAAGCTCTGCCTTTGCAGTTCATTCTTGTAAAAAAACGACACTTAAGATGCAGTTTGTCTTTATAAAGTTTATCTTTAGTGTATCCAAAATCACCAGACCGAAACACTTTTGAATTTTTTCTTTCTCCTTCAGTTTCATTATAATTTTTTGATAAGTTCTCTAACGACATTTTAGAATATTGATTTTTCTTTAAAATTTCTTAAATTTTAAGTTTTAATTCGAACGGAATTTTATTGCACGTGCAAATTAAACTGTTTATTGCGCGTTCAAATTAACTGTTCATTTAAACTGCTGTTCTCCATTGTAGGTAATGCTAACTTTGTTAAGCTGATGCAATATTAGGGTGAAAAGTTAGGAAATATTCATCGAACTCTTAAATAAGTTTCTTATAATAAGAAAATCTTATTTTCGATGTTAATCATAAAAAATGAGTTTTCGATCTTATTCCTTTTTTATTGTTTTCGATATTGTTCCACATTTGTGAATTTCGATATAAAAACTTTTCGACGTTAATCAGAAAATCACATTTTCGATGTTAATCAGTTAAATGAGTTTTTGATCTTATTCCTTTTTTATTGTTTTCGATATTGTTCCAAATTTGTGAATTTCGATATAAAAACTTTTCGATATTAATCTGAAAATCACATTTTCGATCTTAATCATTAAAATGATTTTCGATACTATTCCGCTTTCCCGAATTTCCGTCCGAATTAGTAAAAGTCCGACTTATCCATTGTCCGAGTTATCATGATTCAACTGTAATTCGTTTGCAAAACAAGATTTTTGAATTTATGTTCATTGAAATCTAAAAGAAATCAGATATTAAATTAAATGATCAAACTTAGCACTAGTACTATTAAGAGTTGCCAAGTTAACTATATTTAAAAAAAAATTATTTTTAAGTTTTTGTTCAAAAAACAGTGAAATTTTCAAATTCTTTATCGTGTGTCATTTTAGAAAAAGTTTTGCGATAAAAACAACCATTTTGCAATGTCGTGAAACATTGATTGAGAAAAATGTTTGCAAACCAGTTAAAATCTGAAATAGTTCGTTTGCAAATAAAAATTTTAAAATTGTTTTTATGCAAAAACTTCTAATAAACGAACTTTAAAAGTAATGATAAAATTTAACATTAGTATATTTAAAAGTCACCTAAATAAATTGTGTGCTAAGAATTTTTATTGATTTTTGCAATTTTAAAAAAATATAATTATATATTGTAAGAGTTCTAAACTAAAAAAAAAAGCTTTTTTCAAACTTGAATAAAACATTATTGTTTCAACTTTTTAATATAAAAACTTTTGCATTTGTTTACATAATTTTTCATTAAAAATTTTTTTTTAACTTACTTTTTCAAAATTAGTTTTACATCACAAGAATGAATAAAATACATAAAACACATAAAAACTACAAGAATTGTAAACTGTACAATAAGAACGCAGAAGATCATAAGATCTTTTCATCGAGAACCGTCTAAACAGATTTTGAATAAATAATAATGGTTTAGTAATACATATACAAATAATTATCCATAAACTAATATATGATTATTTAAACAGATTTAACATGCAACAAATTGATCAAATAATTTTTATACTATTCTTAACTAGACTTATATTCATCGATAAATTTTAAATTTCATAGTAAAATAGTTTAGCGTTCAAAAATTATGACCATATAAAATTTGCGACCCCCTCAAATTGAGGGGGTTTAAACTTTATATGGTCCTAATTTTTGAACACTATGAAATTTAAAATTTATAGATGAATATAAGTCTAGTTAAAATTAGTATAAAAATTATTTCATCAATTTGTTGCTCTCACGTTTGGGGCAGGAAAGGGGAAAATTTTGAGGCTTTTTTGTTCCCAACCTCCAATCATCGCAATTTTTTGCAAAACATCTTTATTTGACACAAGTATAAACATATAAAAGTTTGGAGTTTACTCCATATCTGGAAGTTAGCTATCTTTAAGTTCAAAAAATGCTAGATTCGCACATGTGTGTATGCAAATGCATGTGCATACAAATACAAATACATATAAACCATAACCATAAATAATATATACAAACGCAAATTTATTGTTATTAAACGTATAAATCACGTGAATTTAAAAGATAGATACATAGTATTTTTTGCACCCACAAAATAATACTAAAACAATTCAAGTTCAAATTTACATGACAAGAAATGAATTTAAAAAGTATTTATATAAATAATTAAGATATAAAAACTCATTGGTATAAAATACACCTAATGTACCTAAAATAAAACATAAGCGCCCCAGGTATTCACTGCCGCTCACGGAAGTTAGAGCAATGAAGATTTTTTCAAAAAAACAATATTAAGATGTTACGTTGTAGAACTTTTAATTTATATTATTAAAGGTTATATTTTTATTTATAAAGGTTATATAAAGTTATATTTTTTACACATTTTAAAAATAAAATGTATTATTAGTCGATTTCATGGAATTCATATTAATAATTATACTATATTTTTTTATTTTAATTATTATAATTATTTTCATTTCGCCTAAATACCACCCTTTGGCTTAATAACTGATTTAACTATTCTCGGCATTCTTTCAATTAATTTTCTAATTGCTTCTTTCTGAATATTATTCCATTCCTGTTTTATAATGTTCCATAAATAAAGTTTTAATGTTGGATAACAGGTCTAATTTTTCTATCCAGTTCATCCCATAGTAACTCAATGATGTTGAGGTTTGGGCTTTTGGGAGGCCACCCAGTCAGGATTTGATGTCATATTGATATCAAAATGATATCAAACTATGAGATACATGGTCTCATGATATGAGACATTTATATCATAATGATATCAAAATGAAATCACTCATTGATATCATTTTGAACTCAAACCCTGATATCATAGTATGAGAACCCAGCCGGCAAATAACGTTGAAATAACGTTGAAATATCGTTGAAACCTAACGTTGAATTAACGTTGGTTTAACGTTTAGAATGAAAGTTTTTTTCAACGTTGATTTATCAACGTTAAATCAACGTTAGGTTCAAACGTTATATCAACGTTGATTCGACGCGAAAAAACGTTACAATAACGTTGAATTTACGTTGATTTAACGTTTAGAATGAAAGTTTTTTTCAACGTTGACTTATCAACGTTAAATCAACGTTAGATTCAAACGTTATATCAACGTTAATTCGACGCGAAAAAACGTTACAACAACGTTGAATTTACGTTGATTAACGTTAAAAAAACTATCATTTTAAACGTTGTTTAAAATGATAGTTTTTTTAACGTTGATTTATCAACGTTAAACGACTGTAAAACACTTTTTCACCATCAAAACGTGCTATGTATGTCAAAATGTATATATGTATGTAAACGTGCTATGTGCGTCAAAATATGATCACCATCAAAACGTACTATGCATGTACATTAGTGTTGCTGTACATTATCAAGGTATATTATGGATATTAAATCTATTCATAGTCTATACTTGGACTATTTAGAATTTTTTCAGTTTAGTTTAGTTAAAATAGCTAGGTATGATTAAAGAAAGAGATAAAACTTGCTTTATTCAAAAATACATATTCAAATATTACATATATTTACATGTAATTGAATAAAATCTACACAAATTTCTTCTCTTTTCCACCACCTTTTTGAAATAAAGCGTAATTTAGAAAGTCAAACAATGTTCCATTAACCGAGGGTTCTTTTGGTCCATTGAGTACAATATAAGAAGCTGTAAATAAAAAAATATATTAAAAAAAAACAAAAAAGGAAGATTTAAAAAATAAATAATGAATGGAAAAGTGTTACAACTTATGAAGGTATATCTTTTTCAACGCCATATAGATTAGTGTTCTTAAAACATATTTTTCCACCTTTGCCCTTCATATCCATGGAGGCCATATAACTTTTCGAAAATACTCTGAATTTTTAAAAAATAAACAGTTAGTTGGTTATTAATAACTTTTTCAAATATTTAATTTGAATAAAACAACCTTTTTAATATATTAAAAATAAATTAATAATCAAAATATAAAACATTTCTAGTATTGAAAAATAATTTTCGGGGTGGCCACATAAAATTTTTATAAGAAATTTTATGTGGCCATTTATTAATGGTTTAACGTCCATGTTTATACACTTATGGGGCATGGACAGGGATCAAATAATGTCATTTGTTATGTTAAATAGCATGCATTTTCTAAAGCAATTTTTTACAATTCCATGCACTTTAAGGCGTTAACCAGTTTTGCAGACCGAGAATGGGTATTTTGAACATTATACATCCATCAAAAATTAAAAAAGGAAGAATTAATGAGGAGCTTTGATCAAATATTTACCTCTTTAGAGGATAATAGAGGATTTTAGAAGTGGTTTTAAAAAAGGGGACTTTAGAGGATTTTAGAGGAGCTGCAGACACCTTGATTATAAATGAGGTAACTCCACCAATTAACTGTAATTGATTTATCTGGAAAAAAACATGAAGTAAATCTAATATTATGCTTGTGGAGATATATTATATTGTGGAGAACCATCCAAACCACACAAGTGGAAAATTTGCATCCAAGTTTCCACTTGTGTGCAAATCTTGCATCCACTTGTCAACATTCTCATTATCACATTTTTCTTTTGTAGTTGTGAATTTAAAATTTTCACAATACTGTTTG